TATAAGAATAAAAACCTATCATATTACTAAAGCTGCTTTTCAAGGATGCCGTGTCTCATTCAAAGCTGTATGATGTGGTTTACCTTTAAATTCATTTCAGGAAACAGTAGATCAGAGTTAATGAGAATGGCTGTTCCACAACATAGCACCCTTGTAGGAAAAACTTATCTTAAAATAATTGGTGTGGGTTTGTGGAGGGGCCATTTAGGATATTATTTATGGTATATGTTGAAACTTCTATTGGTAAGGTGGAGGGGTTCAAATACCTGTAATCAGTGTAATGGGGTATGAATCAGGGCTGTCATTAAGTTTTGAGTCACATGTAGCCTCTTTCTCCACATAGCAAACTTACAAGTTTGCTACAAGACCCCTTACAAGTTCATCAAACTGCAGTTGAAGGTCACCTGCCATTATATTATATGCTATATGTATTCACCATTATTTTTGTTGTTCAGCCAAACGCTTAAGACATGGTGCTAACAACCACAGGACAACTGGTGGCACCGAGGTGGAGCCCACATTGTTTAATGCCATGGTGCAGCAGGCAGGACTTCACGTCAACTCAGGCCAGATGCAAGATGAATTAGGTAAATTTCCAAATGTGTGTGTCACCTTCACTCTTGCCATAATTGATAAAGTGCCAGATATTAGTCCCCCAGAGTCTGTGCATCATGTTAAAAATATGATAATTGTATGATACTATTGGCCAAAAGTCTGAATGCACCTAATGATAAAATTGTAGGATACTGAAATGAAGCCCACTAAGACCAACTTTTTTTGTTCTTCTTTGAGCGAGAGTTGCGAACCCTAATCTTACACCATACCCTAATCTCTTGTCATTTGTATAAATTTATATGACAAACTGTATACCTGTGCCACTGCAGTAGGTATAAGTGTGATATTTCTTGTTTTTCAGAGGTTGATCGCTCTATTTTCCAGAAGAAAATTAGGAATTCGCTGAAAACTCATCAAAATTATCCAGAGGTAATGACTTAAAATTAATAGTATACGGTTGTGCTGCTTCAGTTAGCGAAATTAAAAGCCTCAATGACCAAAATTACATCTCAAGAAATAGAAGAAATAGTCAAGACAAGTTTGTTTGATACCATATTTATTTGATTAAGCGCCTTCATGGGTGCTTACAAAATTTTGGTCCTTGAAAGTGGATGCTTATTAAATTTGCCCAATTTTTAGCAATTAGTAAGGTTATAAGTAAGGTTATTTTGCAACAAAACAACAAATAATTTATATATAACAAAACATGAAGATCGATGTACCAAAGCAGAATTTTAACTTTTCATTAAGCTAAGAGCTTCTTTAAAGTACTAAGAAAACTTAAAATACTAACTTATTCGAGGTGGGACACTTATTACTTTTTCCTATCTACTTGGTGGGTGGTTATTCAAGATGGGTGCTTATTTAAGGGAATAAAAGCAGTATGTACAGATGATTTATAGATCAAAGGTGCAAACACCGTTAATTTGTCTGTAGACTCTAGTCTAGGGTACCGATATAATACAATGTAAATTTGGAATTTAGCATGGGAGTAACTAAGAAAAACCTAAGCTGGTTCGCCATGTAGCCAGTTTACCAGCCTCGGTGCCCTATAAATTATGTTACCCCAAGTCTTGCTGTCAGGCTGTGATATGATTCACTCTCAATACCTGAAATTACAGCATTCTTGTAGGTGGCAGCTAGCTGCTACAAAGTACGACTCCGTGCTAATTACTACATAATTTTATTCGCTCTTGTTTTATCTGATATATTTTAGAGTTGGTACATGTAATTCACTTGTAGTCACATAATTTATTGTCTTCAGTATAAACTGGGCCGATGACTTTCTGAAGCATGCTACAGAATTACATGACTGTAGAGCATGAATTGAAAAAAAACACAAACTTAATCTTGGACGTCAACATTGTAGATAGAAACATTTAATTATATTATTATCGCCAATTGCTACTAACAATGAATTACCTTATTTTCATGTGGCCTGGTAGTTTGAATTTTGTAAACCATTTTAATCTAGGCTTGTGATTCTATTTGTTTTTAATGTTTTATGCTAATTATTTCCCCTACAGGTCATAGACGACTTTCTTGAGGGTTTACAAGAACAACTGGATGATGCTGGCAGGTATTGAAATTGGTATTAATAATTGAGTTTTTTTTATCCTTTTCACTGGTAGCCATAAGATTGATAACTTTGGGGGTATTTCCTTGTGTGGTTCTGGAAACTATCCATACACACTCCTAGAAAAGCTATGTATTTGGAAATTCAGAGAGGGAGGGGGTTTCAAAAGCCAGAGTTTTAGAAGGAAAGTGTATTTAAAAAAAAATAAAAAATAAAGAGATAAAAGCTAAACTGGAATTTTCACAGCCTGGCTGGGAATTATAGGGAGGAGGGTGGCACAAAACCTCCTAGAAACGTAAACTGAAGACATATCTCTTTAAAAATTATTATTTTTGCTAGAAAGAATTTTTAATTTATTTTATTTTTCATTATTGTTCTCTGTATTTTTATCTCTTATAGAACTTTCTGTCTAGCTTTTTTTTTTACTTTTGTAAAGTGCTTAGGATAGATCTGGATAGGTGCTATATATATCTATTATTATTATTAGTATTATTATTATTGTTATTGTTATTGTTATTATTATTATTAGAAAACACATTGATTTCTTGAAATACAAATAAATAGAAAACAAATAGTTTAAAAAATCATCGTGAAAGGCTTAAGTTTAAATACAAAACACATTTGGGCATGATCTCTGTTAATTGGTAATTTGGTACTTTCTTTCTATCAACAACAGGTTCCGTCTTAGTCTACTACCAGTTTCTATGTCAGAAGATACTGAGGGGTCAGTCTATAAATTATGATATTGTGAGCCTCAAAATTTTACAAGCATTATTGATACTGTAGTGGGAAACAAGGTGACTTGCCATTGTTTACATCTAAGCAAGAATGACACGTGCTCTAATTGGATTTTAAACTACTGTACAAGACTTGTCGTCACTCATTTGAAGTTAATTGGCAGATTGTACTGCAAACTGTCATGTCTTAAGTACAACACAACTACAGACTGGATACTTCAAACATGGCTTTCCTTTGTGTAGGGAACTCCTGGTTTCAAGTTTCATCTAAAAAAAACTATGATACATTCCAACCACTCTTCACTCCTGAAGTTGTTAAATTAATTGTGTCTTTTTTCTACATGGTGAAATGTACTTTAATCCTGAGAACTGACCGTTTAATATAATACTTCTTTTTCAGCCTCTAAAATGGATTGCATCTCATAAAAATTAATTCACCCGTCATCCTAACATGAACCAATTTTTCTCTCTAAGGGCTCAGTACCTTATTTACCAGTAGTGTTTCGTTTCTTAGATATGGAGGGAGTCAGGAAAGTTTGATCAGAATGCTTTTGGGTGTAGATATCCTTCAGGTAAGACACAAAACAGCATTATCTAACAATTTCCTTTCTTTTCCTTCAACAATT